AATGGTGAAAGCTCACATCCACCAAGTGCTCAATAAATGCTTAGAAAATCAAAACGTTAGGAGCAAACACTGATGTATTCCAGAAGATGTATGTTTTCCTTTTCTTTTCTTTCTTTTCTTTTTTTTTTTAATTTTGGTTTGGCTTGGTTTGGTTTGGTTTGGTTTGGTTTTTTGAGACAGGTCTTCTCTGTGTAGTTTTGGTGCCTGTCCTGGATCTCACTCTGTAGACCAGGCTGGCCTCAAACTCAGAGATCCACCTGGCTCTGCCTCCCAAGTGCTGGGATTAAAGGCAGGCGCCACTGCCACCTGGCTTCTTTTCTTCTTTCTTTATGTTTATTTATTGAAACAGTCTCCTTAAGAAGCCCTGGCTGGCCTGGAACTCACTAAAGAAATGAGGCTGGGCTGAAACTCACAGAGATCCCAACTGCCTGTGCTGGGATTAAAGGTGTGCAGCGTCACACCTGGCTGCCAAGATTTTTCTTTTCCTAAGCTCTTGTGTCACGAACTTCTTTAAAAGTATAGCATATGCTGCAATAAAACTCCAAATTCCTAGTATCACATACTTCCAGGCTTTTTCCGTCTATGAATAGAAATATAATTACTACCCACACATATCCTTAAAAGCGACCACCTGGGTTTTTGTTTGAAGAATTGTGTTTTTCAATGAGCATTATTTGTGAGAAAGTAAGATAATAGAGAATTTCCACACCAATAAAACTACAAATTCTTTTAAAAGTAAATCAATGTTTGAGAAACTATTCAATCACAGCAGCATGCAATTTCAAAAGCACAGGACACAGAAGCCACTTCACTTAGCTTACTTTTCCATGAGAAGTTACAGATTAGAGCTTAAAGAACTTCAAAATAAGGGTCCAGTGAGATGGCTATGAAGCTGTAGGCGCTTATTGTGCAGCCCTGACAACCTGATTTCAAACCCTGGAACCCAAGACAGCAGGAGAGAACCAAGGACTCTCAATTCTCAACTCTCACAAGTTGTCCCTGACCCCACATATACTGTGTCAGGCCTACGCATGTGCATGCGCACACAACACACACACACATAAACACACATCATACACTAATAATAACAAAAATACAAATAAAATATTTCAAAATAAAGTAGTAGACTGAAAACAAAAAAAAATGCAAGAATGAACACTGGTTTTATAGTTTTAAACCAAAACTCAAAAAAGGCCAAATACACGACCTCCATATCAATAAAATGAACTGAAAATGTGAGTTACTTAAATACTGGAGCTTCAATTTCCTTGTCTTTTACAAAAGTACCTTGAGACCATCACTATTCTACCAATCAGAGTATTGTTACTTGGTTCCAGTAGCATATATGTGCAATATCATCACTGGGAAGAAGCAGACAGGAAGACAAGGAGTTGAGGGCAGCCTAGAACACGTGAAGAGACTTCTCAAAATGCATAAAATATGAGATAAATATTGAATAAATAAATAGCAATGGACAACTTTGCCTTTATCCATTTAGCAAATACTGAGCACCTAATATAAATACATGTGCACACCCACACCAGGCCTTGTCATGAACACATAGGCAAAGTCTGGTGTAACAGGCACTATGATACAAGCCATGTAAAACCAGCTTCCCAAGAGGCTGAGGCAAGGTGGTCACCCTCCAACCCTGTCTCAAAATAAACTTGGAAAGGGAGGAAGGGACAGAAGGTATAGCTCAGTGGTGATGTGTTTACCTAGTGTACCTGAGGCCCTGGGTTCAATCACACTTCCAGGAGTTCAAAAAACAAAAACAGAAACAAAGGAAAAACAAAAAACAAAACGCTAAACACTAGTAATAGTCCAAGTAATAGAAACAGAATGTAACAGAAACAACTGTAATCCCAACTTAACATCCAGTAGGAAGGATACTTGGGAAACTTACAACAAAGGAATTGCTAACACTAAACCAAAAAGATGTGCAGAGGATCTCCAGCGAAGAGAGAAAACATATCTAGGCCAAGTCCTCAAAGACTAAAAAGAAGCAGCCATGCAGAACACATGACAATGTTTCAATGCACCTGAAACCCCTAGAGCATGCTTAAGAAACAGTTACATCAAAAACAGGGGGAGCTGGGCAGAAGGTTCAGCAGGTAAAGACACTTTCCCAAGCCTGACAGCCTCTGATTTCCCACAGGGTACAAGCAGAGAACATACTTCCACAAGCTGCCTGCTTTCTCTGTGGGCCAATCATGGTGCACACACACCCACACATATACATATATAAAATACATAAATACAATGGAAAAAAAGCTTTAAAATATAAAAGCATCTTCGTTTCCAAAGAATGACAATAAACAAATGGCAATGTTCATTCTGAGTATGATTTGTCAGAAAGAGTTAAACATTAACCTTTTATATGCAATATAAAGATGCAAGAGTTACCTTATAGCTCTTATCTTTGAATGTCTGGGGTTATATCCAGTTCTAGTCAGGTGCAGTGGTACATACCTTTAATCCCAGTACTGAGGAGGCAGAGGCGGGCAGATCTCCATGAGTTGAGGCTAGCATAGTCTACACAGTGAATTTCAGGACACCCAAGGCCAAACTGAGACCATAACTTAAAAAAAAAAAATCTAGGTTGTAACATCAAATATTGCTACTACAGTAATGACGGTCAGCCAAAGTAAATAAACCAATACATTCAGTGTACACAGGAAGGTAAGCTGTCATGTAACTAGTACTCTGAAGTTATCTATTGTTCATCCTGTGCAAGTAACTGTGGGAAGAGGATTGATTGCAAAGTTAAAAAAAAACAATAGCCCCAGCAACATACAACTTAGGAAGACAAAAACAACTTATTATAAGAGTAAGAATTATGTAATCATTAACAGAGCTGAAGAGAAGAGCTGGAGGAGAGTGTACAAATTTCATAAACTAAAGGCTTCAATAATAATTCTTCCTCAGTAATTTTTTTGGGGGCGGGTGTCTCATGCATCCCAGGTTGGCATCCAACTCCTATACAGACACAGATGACCACAAGCAGTCTGAACTTAGCACTGTCTCCTGGTGCGTGCACTACAGGTGTACACAGCCATACAAGGTTTCCACAGTGGCAAGGATCACTCAAGGGCTTCCTGCATGTGAGGCAAGACTCATTCAACTGAGCTACACACCCAGCCCTCCTCAGTACATTGTTAGAAAGATCATCAGACAGGTGGACTTGGTCGTGGGTCATTTGTCTTTCAGTCTTTAGGCTTAATGAGTCAAATATAAGTCATTTCAACTTTGTTTAGTGTGTACAAACTGAAGATGAAAATTACCACAGAGCCTCACTGAATGACTAAAAGAACAATAAGGAGATACAATGGAAAACTGAATTTAGAAGATATGAAATTCTAGGCCAGTAATTTCATGATGTAACATATATGGAGTTGGAGTTCTGGCCTCACAGATCACAGGAAACTCAAAGATAAACACAGCAATTTTAACACATAACTGAAGTACTATTTAAAGACTACCAAAAAGATTCACTAACAAAATGAAGCTAAGACATTTGACACATTCTGATAATCTGGAAGTTTTCCTTAAAACTTTAAACTACATACTGTCAAACTGGCTTATGTTCTATATTTATATCTAATCTGTATTGCATACATCTTCATGACTATTTAAAATTCCAATTTATTTTTTCTGTATGATTATATAAAAGAGTCTATCAAAATCTTTCAACCTAAATAAATTCACTCTAAGGCAATCTAAACTTCAATGAGACTTAAAACTCAACATCTTTACCCAAACAACCTATTGATATTTTACACTTGACCCAGTAACTTATAAATAGTAATTAATATATGTCAAATAAACTTGATCCAATTTTCCAACTACGCTATCTACTTCCAAGCTGAGGAGAAACAAAGGTTATAGTAAGGCTTGTAGGAAGTAGAGGGAGGGAACAGTGTGCAGTCCCACCAATAGACTCTACAGAAAGAAATGCTAGTGGTCCTGGAAATCATCCATCAGAATTACCAAAATACATTCGCTAATAATCAACATCATCTCAGGATGAGGCTAACAGCTTGACACTCTTATTCCAAAGCATTTTATCCACGTGATAGCTTGTAAACTTTTATGACCCACTTTACAGTATTTCAGTATATTCAATCCTAACGTCTTTTGAAAATAAAGTTTGTCAGTTAAAATATATTTTCTAGAGACTACACTTTCATTCATTAGGTTTAGTCCATTGCCTTAACGACTTAGACAATGTCTGAAATTTTAACATTGGGGAAAGTCAGAAAAATAGTATTATAGTTAAGTTTCCTAAATGTGGAATATAGTATCTACAGGACTCATGTGTTTTGGAAAGGCTCATGAGCACATCAAAATGTTGAAAGAAGCCAACTTTCTACCCTCCCCTGATGCTACAAAAGGCTGATGTCTACCCACAGCATTAGCCACTGCTGTAGTAGACGGTGTGCTCAGTACATTACATGCAAGAGTCTGAGTTCAAACCCTTAGCACCAAAAAAAAAAAAAAAAAAAAAAAGAAAAAGAAAGAAAGAAAACACCATCTGCATTTGTAAAAGACTATTAGGGTATGGTTTTCATTCATTTCTATGACCTACTCAGGCAAAGAGCTATTTTTAGTTATTTTATTTTAGTTTCTGGAGATGGGATAGCTCTATGTAGTCCTGGCTGTCCTGGAACTCACTAAGGAGACCAGGAACTCACAGATCCTCCTACCTCTGCCTCCCAACTGCGGGGATTAAAGCATCTGGCTATAATTATGTTCTAAAGCAATCCTTTACATCTTCTTCTGGTCATTCTTATAATTTTTAGTAAGATCGGGTAATCAGCCTTCATCTGGCAGAAAAACATCACCTTCTGGGAAGAATGTGGAGTATCTCCAAACCTGCTATTGTTCAGAGTGGCTTAATAAATTACACATGGCTTTTTCCTAGAGTTTGGCATTTTAGTTTTTAAGACATAAAAATATCATGATACTAACAGAATATCATAATGTAACACTGCTTACAATTTAGTGGAAGATTTGAACATTTTTATTCAGTTGTTTTAACAAAAAGGAGTATTTAACCATGCACCCTGCTATTACGCTATGGCAAAACAGCCCACAGCAAACGAAGTCCTGAAGATCCCTTAACTGAAACCCCAATTGTCTTAGTCAGGGCTACTATGGCTCTGATGAAACACCATGATCACAGCAACTTGAAAAGGAAAATGCTTATTTGGCCAACATGTTCATAGCACTGTTAGTCACTGAAGGAAATCAGGACAGGAACTCAAGCAGGACAGGAGCCTGGAGGCAGAGCTGATGCAGAGGCCATGGAGGGGTGCTGCAAACTGGCTTGCTCAACCTGCTTTCTTATAGAACCCAATACCACCAGCCCAGGGGTGGCTCCATCACAAAGGGTTGAGCCCTTCCATCAATCACTAATTAAGAAAATGCTCTACAGGCTGGCCTACAGCCGATCTCATGGAGGCATTTTCTCAACTGAGGTTCCTCCTCTCTGAAGACTCTAGCTTGTGTCAAGTCAACATAAAACTAGCCAGGACACCAATCATTCCATAGTCTATGTAAAGTGTTGTACTTGCCAGATTTCCCGAGTATTAGCTGGGTAAAATATAGCAAGACAGACTTGGAGCTCTTTCAGCTACCCCCTAACACACAGCCCTGGGTGGTGGGCCAAAGAAGTCAATCCTTTTGGTGCCAAGCTTCTTAAATAGACTTCAGCTCTTCAAGATTTCTTTCTCTGGACAGTTTCTTCATATCAGTTCCCTATACATCTTTGTTAGACTGCCTAAGAGGTCAAGAACAGTCCACCAGCCCAAATGCAATTCTCTTAAATTTGAGTAATAAGGAGGCCCAAGTTTTTGCACATCTACATATTAAACCAAATGTGACCAAAAAGACATGGGGGGGGGGCGACACCAAATTTGAAGCCTCCCCACCGAGAGTTTTGTTTATTTATCACTTCCCTACAATATGAGTATCTACTTTGAGGACAGATGCAGAGATTACCCGAAAAAAGGAGCCAATTCTCTCAATCTATTAAGACTATTTCAAAATTTTCAAGTTGACTTAAAACTATGTGTAGAAATCTGAGTCTTTCTTAGGCTTTTTATAGATTCAAAAGTCCAATACTGAAGATAACTGAAGAAAATCTTTCCATAGTCCGACACATATACCACAAGGGTAGTTTTTAATCTTGGGCTTTACTCAGGATATCTGTATTGATTCTTCAAACCCAAGGAAGTATAAAATCAAACTGAGTTTTCAAAACCCAAGCAGAGGTAGAGTGGGTCAATTGTGACCTAGTTGTCTTACTTTATGAACATACAGTAACCATTTTGTAGACTGCTCTTTCTTTAAACCTAACTGTACTATACTGACAATATACATACGAGGAAAATCTGCTTTGTGGCAGTTAAATTGTTAGAGCTCTCCTTAAGAACTGTGGGCCAAATCTAAACAGTTGATGATTCTAATACACACAAAAAGAATTCCCCGTCTTTATTAACTTACGTTAGAACATACTGATTGTACTCTTCATAGAGGCAGGCCACTAAAATAAAAGCGGAGGTGTGAACGCTTACCTCTTTTAATATTCATATCAATCCCCCTAGATTATCAGAGTTAAATATAAAAATTAACAGGCATAAAATACCCTCATATTTTCCAAATAGTAATTTAAAAACAAATTCCAAACCAAATCCAAGGTCAGCAAATAGTTACCAGGTGATGAGAAATTTAAACTTTAAGCTGGCAAATCAATTTTAGATCTCAAATCTAGTAACACAAAGGTAAAAAAACTTTATGTAAGGCTATATGTATACATATTTTCCTACCCATGTTGTAAGTTCTAAATAGGCCTTGTTATTTTGAGGAGAGTCAACCTCAGCCACAATCAATCAGGAGGAAGAACAATAATTTGTTTGCTGGGAATTGTGCATACTTTGAAAATTCCAAAGCCTATTTTTCATCTTTAGGGTATCATAGTAAATGTTCTATAAAACTGTTGGCTAAAGCCTGAGTAGTAATAAGGTCTGTGTTGAAAACAGCATTTATTGCCCAAAATAGTTCAGAAAAGTAGCAGATTTTGAGATATTTGTTTGGACTAGAACAGATAATTTAAAAGAGAAGTTTCAAAAAGGTGAACTAAGCTTTTCTTCCCAGAATAAATTATTGGACTTTTTGCACAAGTACATTATTTGTACTTTATATAATTAATAGAACTTTTGCATTTATACTAAACATCTCTAAACTGTTACCTTTTTTTTAGACAACTCTTTAGTGAGATGCATTTTTTAAGATATCCAATAAGCCATGACTACTACTAATCTTTGCCACTTGGAGGTACAGAGACTAACAAGCTATTCACTAAATAAAATGAAATTTTTACCTATGGTTTCTAAGGCACACAGTTATCTACAACATCTAAAGTGGGATTTATTTGCTGGACCACAATAAGTTCTCAGAACATTTGCTCTAACTTGGGTAGAAATAGGCAAGTAATCACATTAGTCTCCAGTCCAAAAATGTATTTCAGCTAAAATATGTCAATCCTCACATCTGCAGTCACTTAAAGATGATCAGTGTTGTGCTGGGAAGTTTCTGCAGCTACTTTGGGATGACAATACAGTGCTCAGGGTTTTAGAGGATTAGGCAAATTCTGTCCCCTTTTGTTCAACAATGCCTCATCTCCACTACATAAAACCTGGTCTCCAGTCCCACTACTGGGGTTATTACAAAGAGTGATTACATTATAAAAGGCCTCCAGATCACTCTGTTCAAATGTGACAGCTGGTTTCAGGGATGTCCCAGGAGCAAGGGAACTTCCTCCAACAATTCTCAGGTTGATAAATTTGATTTTCCAAGTATTTTCCACAAAAGGGCTACGGATAAGTCCAAAAATTTGTTCAAATATGCCCAAGCAAGTATTTCCTCTGTGAACAGTCCCTGCAACTCCAACCATAACTAATCCATGAGGAGAAGAAGCACATTTTAGTCCTTGAGAATCGAGGTTGGGACTGAGAAAAAGAAATTCCTCTTTCACTAATGACAGTAAACGAAGGCTCACAATTTCTGCTCCTTGGTAGTCTATCACGTTTTGTTCTGAGGTGCTATAATAAAACCTAAGCTTGACATCATGCCAGAAGTGCTGTGGGCCCCATTCCTCTTGAGGTGGTCCCAGAAAAGGATTCTGAGAATTAAGAAGTTCAAAGAACCAGTGGCAGAATTCTTCTCCTAAGCGACGGAAATCAACCTTTTCAGCGTTTTGCTCTTCTTTTGCCTGCTGGTTAAAACAAAAACAGAGGAAAGTGAAGGTTCACCTCTCACGGCCAAGGTTCTAAGTGCAAATGTATTGGTCAGAACAAAGACCAATGAACTACACCATGCGCAGATCAACTTCTTCCAAAAGGAAGAGTGTTGCTGGTTGTTTTTGCTCTTTTGGGGGCCCACCACCCAGCTCCCAAATAAATACACATGGAGGCTTCTTTTTTTTTTCCCCCGAGGCTATGTATCTTTTTTTAATTAAGAATTTTTTTATTCATTTTTACATACACAGATGCCCCTCTCTTCGATCCTCCTGCCCCTCCCACCTCCCCCCCCCTCATCCCACCCCCTATTCCTTCCTCCAACAAGGAAAGGCCTCCCATGGGGAGTCAGCAAAGCCTGGTACATTCAGTTGAGGCAGGTCCAAGTCCCTCCCCCTGCATCAAGGCTGTGCAAGATGTCCTATCACAGGTAATGGGCTCCAAAAAGCCAGCTCATGCACCAGGGATGGATCCTGATCCTACTGCCAGGGGGTCCCTTAGGCAGATCAAGTTACCCAACTGTCTCGCTTATGCAGAGGGCCTAGTCCAGTTCCATGGAGGCTCCACAGCTGTTGGTCTAAAGTTCATGAGTTCCCACTAGTTTGGTTCAGTTGTCTCTGTGGCATATTAATTATAAATGTCCAGCCTTAGGTTGGCTTGTTTCTTGCCAGCTTTTCTGAACTTATTAGCCTATCTATCTTTGACTGTGGGCTTTTACTTTTCTCTATTCCTGTATACCTTTCATTACTTCTTACTCTGAGGCTTGCTATGTAGCTGGGTGGCTGGCCCCTTGTGTCCTCCTCCTTCTCTCGAACTTTCTTCTTCTTCCCCCAGATTTCCCCTTCTGTATATTCTCTCTGCCTGCCAGCCCCACCTATCCTTTCTCCTGCCTCGCTACTGGCTGTTCAGTTCTTTATTAGCCCATCAGGTGTTTTAGATAGGCAAGGTAACACAGCTTCACAGAGTTAAACAAATGCAACATAAACAAAAGTAACACACCTTACAATAATATTCTATAACAGAAGAAAATATTTTCAATTTAAATTTTATCTAAGTAAAATTGAACAAGCCCACTGCTGGGTTCAGTGTCACACAGCTAAGATGTCAGCTACTCGGGAGGCTGAGGGAGAAGGCTGGCTTGAGCACAGGAGCCCAAGACCAGCCCTAGCATGCTCTCATTCATTCATTCATTCATTCATTCTCTTACTCTCCCTCTCTCTTCCCCTCCCTACCCCCTCTCATTTCTTTTTCTTCAATGTGTTTGGGATCAAACCAGATAGATACCCTAGACCTTTATCTTCTTCTTCTAAGAAAAGGTCTTACTCTATCCAAAACTGACCTGGAGCTTGCAATCATCAAGTTTCTTATCTCCTGTATGCTGAGGTTACAGGCATCTAACATTCCACCTATTCTGATACCCTGTTCTCCTCAAAACCAATTCTAAAACAGTAATATAGGAATGTTATTTGCAATTCCGATGATTTGATCTTAGAAAAAGTTAAAAAAAATAAAAAATGAACAAAGCCCTTTAAAATATCAATATCAGCATGAATAGTCAATGACAATGGTTTGTGCATAATTTTCCTTTGACTGTACACATCTTCCAAAACTTTAAAACAACTGCTTCAAATGGATCCTTTAATGAATGTAAAGGTCAAAAAAGGTGATTATACAAATAATTGCAATAATTAATAAAACTCATGAGGAATTTGCATTTTTCTAACATCATCATAAATTCTATTGAAAAGTAAGCTCTTGTTACTCATTCTATCTGCTTTAACATAAAATGACTATTATTTTTTTAATCAGGAAAGGTTTGTCAGAACTTTTTAAAAAAATTTCCCTCTACATAAAATAAAACAAAATAAATAAATGAAATTTTAAAAAAATCCCTCTACCTTCCTTAAACAGATACTTCTAAAGGTGATTGAAATGGGTAATTTTCCATGACCAGAATACTATATTTTTTAATTAAAAGGGAATAGTACTATAAAAACATACCCTATAAACTAGACTCCATGCACCTATGTATTTCAGAACATAGTACCTCACCAAGAATAAGATACTATGTCTCATTCTATACTACATGGAGAGCCTGCAATTCACTATATTTGGCACAGAATGTGGTATTTAAGTTTATTTTCCTGGTCTGCACAATAAGCTTGATAACATATTATTTCTGTGAGCATTTCTTTTTCTCCTTTCAGTATATGAAGCAAAAAAGACCTTAAAACATCCTTTCCTAACTGCACTATGAAAGCATAGTAACTATCCAGAGTTCAATCTATCAACATTAAGTACTCACTCTCTCTCTCTCTCTCTCTCTCTCTCTCTCTCTCTCTCTCTCTCTCTCTCTCTCTCTCACACACACACACACACACACACACACACACACACACACACACACACACACACGAGCAGCCAGGATTAACTGAAGTGGAAATCATTTTCTCCAAGTGTTTTAAATGAGATTTTTGCATGACTACCAAAGACAGTGGTCTTGAATAAGATAATAAATGAGATAAAGACTAGAAAACACAAGTACTATGAACCATGCACCTCAGAGCTAGGATTATTTGCACAGTTTCAGACAGAACAAGGATTCAGGACAAAGTACAAATCTAGTGTACCTGTTCAAAGAGCTGGATGTCCTCTGTCTTTGTATCTGATTCTGCTGTCTCCTTCAATTTTGGTGACTGTTTTTCCCAATAATCTTTTGCATACTGAATAAGATTGTGCTTTTCAGTAGTTGGGGGTACAATCACATCGTGTTTTGCCAAATACTTAAATATGACTTCTCGGTGGACTTTTTTTCGCCTCAGAAGTTCTTCTACATTTTGGCTATAAACTAATATTGCATGAATAGCATCTAGAAAAAAATAACCATAATTAATAGACAATCACAAGGCATTTGCAAATTTGCCCAACATCAGCAAAAATTCTACTGAAAAATATTTAAGCTCACGATATTTGCTTTTGCATTAAGATGGCTCTGGCTTTGAAAAGCAAGAAGTGGCTCATCCATTCGTTTGCTTTTTAAATCCTTTATACTTTAAACTTCCTTTACCTTGCCAGTGATGGTGCTGGGGATGATGTGGTGGTAATGAATGGTGATGCAGCCTTCAGTCCACTTGGGAGGCAGAGGCAGGCAGTTCTCTGAGTTCAAGGCTAGCCTGGTCTACAAAGCCAAGTCCAGGGCAGCCAGGGCTACACAGTGAAACCCTGTCCCCCAAAACCAAAATAAATAAATATGAGTTGTTTAAATAAAAAATATTTGACCCAGAAAAAATTTATTTCTCCGCCCCAAATATCAAAAAAAATCTACAAACCTTGAAAAAGTGATTAAAATGACAGTATTTGAGATGTCAAGGAATGTTGTCAAATTCCTGATTCTACAGATAATCGAAGTTGGTAACAGGATTCTACAGATAATCAGGAAGTTGCTTTTTAATTAAAAGTTGTGCTACAAACACAGACTAAAATGTATCTTTCTGATACACAACGGGTGCAAAATGGCAAAAATTAACTTTTAAAAAATGCACTCATTACCTATGTCTTCCAAAGACCTTATCCCAAGGGGCACACAGTATCCTTGAGGCCCCTATTTCAAACTTCCCTAAGGCTATCCTCTTTTTCCACCCATTTCAGGGTAGCTACTACATTCGATTGTTTGGGGTTTTTTTTGGGGGGGGGGGGTTGTCATTTCTATTCCTTTCTTTACAGCAACATACGTATTATTACTGTATTTAGTAAGGATTTTTTGAATGTTTTATAAATTCAACGTACAGATATATCCTTTGTGTCTTACATATAACCTTTTTTAATTAAAAAAAAAAAAAAACTTGTGGTTTTGCCACTTCTCAACTTTATCTGTCAGACGAAGAGACTGAGCATTCCTTGACATATATGGGTTAAAGCCATCGGCCTTTTGTTGGGTGCAATAGGTATTTCCCTAAGAGACCCACAAAAGGTGTCTGTGTTCTCCCTTCCGGTGGAAAGAAAACCGGCAGATCAGCTGCAGCTGATGCCCTCGGATGACAGAAACTTAAAATGAAACACACCCTCTGGGGCTTTGTGGAAATCATGAAGGAAAAAAAAAAAAAAAAAGAAAAGAAAATGGCTGATTCGTACTCGGGCCACCATGTCAACAAAGTTTTACCGGGTCGGTATCAGACACTCGCAAAATCCCGGGAGCCGCTCCACTGCCCGACCCGTCGGCATGCCGGGACCGGGCTCCGCGGGCGGCGAAACCTGCGTGGGGGACTGCAGAGCTGTGCAGCCGCGGCCGGAGCGGCCTCTCCGGCGGGCTCTGGCCCAGGGGAGCCGAGCAGCCTCCCCGGACCGGACCGGACCGGACCGGACCCGGCGGCGTGAGGCGATACCTTGGCGGTCCACAGGCTGCACCAGGCGGTTGGTGACGGTGTCGCACAGGGCCATGATCTCGTCATCGTCCAGCAGGCCGAGCAGGTGACGGCAGCCCTCCGTCTCTAAGTGGCTGAGCCCAGACATCTCGCCCCCGGGGAAGGGGGCAGAGGACGACGCCACCAATGTCGCCCTCTCGGCCCGCCGGCCGGCCGGCGCCTTAGCAACAGGCACCGGAAGTGCCTTTCCAGCCGCTCGTGCCGGAAGGGTCTCGGAGATTCCAGCCCCCGGGGCGGAAGTGCTGGCTCAGAAAGTCGGCGAGGAAACGCTGGGGATCCCGACTTGGGGTTCCGGGCCGTCTTGGAGTAGCGTTCCACCGCTGGCGCTTCAAAGAGGCATCGTGAACCTTCACCTTCCACACGAGGGCTGGTTAGAAACGAAACTTTAAACTCACCAGCACTGCCTCCTTTAAGAGCGACTGGAAGTGCAGCGCATGCACCGGCGGGTGCGTGGGGGTGGAGAGCGCAAGCCAGCTCCCATCATCCCCCGGGGCTAGCAGGTGGAAGCGCTCCTCCCCCTTCCCCCTCTGGTGACCCGGGAGCGTTTGAAAGTTTGTCGTCTCTGGCCACATCTAAGTTAGGTGAGCTGGTCCCTTGATATTCTTTAGCTACACAAGTTAACTTAAACTTTTAAACACTATGCTGAGAAAATGTTTTCAAAGAACTATAACTTACTTACCCATGATTCCATCCTTGCCCACTGTTGTGTCCACATCTGGACCCCCAGAGAGACCACCAAAGACAAGCTTACCAGAATGCAAAAGCAAAGCTTTATTTCGAAGCAATTCAAGCCTAGGCAGGGACCCCCGTCAAGCCATCCAACTCAGTGGAGGCTGGAGGAGGTGTCCATCCCTCTGCAAGCTCAGTTTTTTTTTGTTTGTTTGTTTGTTTGGGGTTTTTTTGTTTTGTGTTTTGGTTTTTGTTTTTTTGTGGGTTTTTTTTTTTTTTTTTTTTTTTTTTTTGGTTTTGTGACAGGGTTTCTCTATGTAGCTTTGCGCCTTTCCTGGAACTCGCTTTGTAGACCAGGCTGGCCTCGAACTCACAGAGATCTGCCTGGCTCTGCCTCCGGAGTGCTGGCAAGCTCAGTTTTTAAAGGCAAAAACCACAAGGTTACATCAGTTAGGAGTGCTAATATGGGTACAATTCTGATTGGCTAGCTTCTGCGGACTTTCCAGAAACCTTATCTTTATCTTACACCTAAGGAGGAGTGGATGCCTGTCACCGTTCCTCATTGGCTGTACTCAGATGGGGGCATTTCTATAGTTAAGCAATCACCATAGAGACTAGGGTTGGGATACTCTGTACTTTGCACTAATTTCTGGAATCCGGTCAACTGGATCCAGTAACTCGAGGCCTATACCTAAAATGGAGAACATTTAGGCCTTATTTTTAAAATGGAGGAACTTTGGTCTCACACCTACCTTGTAGATGACTTTAATTGAGCCCAAGGATGAGGCAGTGGAACCCCAATTTGCAACTGGTTGGTCACAAGTACAACTGAAACAACCTGAGGCTTCAGATTTTCGTGGAATGTGCAGCTGAAGGGGCGTGGTGCCTGACGCCATTAGATTTGAATTAGTGGCTAGTATCTCCCACTGCAGTAATAGTTGCTTGGTTGGTGTGGGGGAAAAAATAGATACACAAACACACTCACCTTGGATAGAAAGTGATTTGTGTTGTGAGTATAAGTAGGAGAGGCTAGATTTCGGTTAGAGTTTTTCATAAATACAAAATCACTGAGATTTGGAGCAGGATAATTTATCGTTGCAGAGGCTTAGTTCTGCATTGCAAGATGCTTAACACTTCCCTACATTTCCACAAGGAGTAGTGTTGCCCTTCTCTGACTTGATGCAAGTGAAAATACCTCCAGACTACCAAATGTTCCCTGAGAAGGAAAATCATCCCCAAGTGAACCACTGATTCACTTTCCAAAGGGTTTTCTGAGATGATGAAGATATTTTTGCATTGCCCAGTACTAACCACTGTCCACATCTGTCTTTTGAGATCTTGCAGTATGGAAGTAAAACTGAATAATTTCAAATTTTACTTGAATTTGAGTTAAGTTTTAATATCCACATGTGGCTAGTGGCTACTAAATTGGATTATGCCAAACTAAAGATTTGTAGGCCATTCTGTAGACATGTATCTTTTATGTTTGACCTCTGACTTCAATTTGTTTTTATTTTCAAAACCCATTAGTGCAGATAAGTCACAAGGGTTTCCTTATGATTGGTTCCTTAGACTCGTATTCCAGGTCTCTGCTTCAAAGCCTTTGTTCTTGCTAATTAACTTGAGATGGTCTTCCCTTCAGACATCTCAACTGCTCATTTTCCCTACTGTTTATTCAGGTCCCTACTTCAAAGTATTACCAGGGAAGCCTCACTGCATCGGCCCATTCAAAATCACCATCAACACCCTACTTATGTTTCCTACCCATTTCATTTGTCTCCAAAGTGTTTATATAATTTAGTATACTATATTGTTCATTGCTCTCATTCCACTCCCAGCCCCTTATAAGGTGAGCTCTGCGAGGCAAGCAGTTTTTGTTTCATTATGTTTATGAAGCCTGGCATATAGTAGATATGCTATTTTTAAAGTAACATTTGTAATAAATAAATTGTGAAGCCTGGAGGGTTTTAAACAGAGTGATGAAATGATCGAAGTTTCAAACAGGATCACTTGAGTAATGGTATGAAGGGTAGACTGAAGGAAGCGAAGAGGAAAGAGAGCCCAATTGGGAGGCCAGTACTACTTTTTCTGTGTGACAGAAAATGGTAAGCTCAGGCAGAGTGGAAGATCGGATAGTCTTGGATCACTGCAGGCTTTGGTTTGGGCCACCAGAGTTGCCATTTGCTGAGAAAAGGAAAACTGGGTAAAGTAGGTTTGAATGAGGGATATAATAGCTAAGAGCTCAGACTTTCTGGAACATGTGATGGTACCTAAGAAAGAATAAATCAAAGAAAGAAGGTTGCTGAATTAATCGTGACCAGGCAGCAGTGAAAAAAGTGCATGCAATAGAATAGTATGAAGGCGGGTAGAGTTTCCAGCGTGACTATAAGGCCAGAGACAGAATAGTAATGATTACAAATTTGGCAAACACATAACAAGAAGGATTTGGCATCCAGCCCTTCATTTACTAAATTCTTACAACCTTGCAGCAATAGTTGTCCCATTTTACAAAATATAAAGTCAATTGGCTATCCTTTTTTAAATGATTTATTAGCTCCATGAGCATTTTGTACATTTTGATCATTACATTAACTCCCTTCTCCATATCTTGTGTCTTCTTATTTTTTAGACCTGTCAAAACCAGTTTGTGTTGCCAGGTATCCTTGGTTGTATGGCCTTCAGCTGGAGCATGATCAACTTAACAGAGGTTAGTTAAACTCTTAAAGAAAACTGACTTTCCCTTTCTAGGGGCTAAAATTGCTCCTCCTCAGCTAGATTAGGACTATGTCCCCAACTTTTCCTGTCCTTGTTGGATTTGACCTGGCTTGAGCTTGCACATGTCTTATGTCTGTTGTGATTTCATATTTGCTGCTGCCCACTGTGTCTAGAAGACAGTTTTCTTGTCATCTACCACCTCTGTCTGTCTCTTACACTCTTTTCATCTCCTCTTCTGAAGTGATCCCTGAGTCTTGGTAGGCAGAATACTGAGTGTTTTGGGAATGGGGGGAGGTGATGAGCATTCACAGTTTCTTTTTCTCTACACCTTGGCCAGTTATGAGTCTCTGTGGTAATAACCATCTACTACAGAGATAGAATCTTCTCTGATGAGGGTTGGGAGATGCATAATGATAAGTGATTATATCCACTTAGTGGTATATTATTAATTGCTTAGATTTCCAGAATAAAACTACCATTCTAGAATTTGAGTGCAGTCTTACTTATCTACATACCCTTTAATCTGTTTCTAATAACTATGAACAGAATACTCTTTGTAAGAGGTGAAAGACGTATACATTGTGAGGAGATACCAGAGTATACTCAGTATATTTTTTGAAAGGTAAATACAATTTTCACATGGGTTAAGCCATTTCAGGTATTAGTTCTTACTATCTACTGACTAAGTCATTAAGTGCCTACCAATGGGAGTTTTCAAGAAGGCTCTGAATTTAAGAGGAGTTTACCGTACAGGGAAATATGGTACACTATTGTTTTTTATCTAGTTTCAAACCTTAGCTTGTGTAAGAGATTTGTGATAGATGTAAAGGGCATTAGCTCACAGATAAGCACTGGGGAAACCAGGAACCTTTAATCACACAGGCTTATCTCTTCATTGGAAGGGATTTTCCACCTGGAAGGCTGAAAGTGGATGTTAATAATCTAGTGATAACTTTGCTGTCTTAAGGCTAGGCCTGATGTGAATCTCCCAGAATGTTTATCCCAGACTCTCCCTCCTTAGACCTTTAGCTTTAGCTTTGTTTCTCAGTCAGTAGGAGCCATTCTTAGGGGAGATGTCCCATGTACTTTATAGCCTAGTGACGTTTACACTATCCTTGTCAGAGACCACACCAGATCCTAGGACAGTAAGCTATAGAACCCATCTTCATGGTAAAGGCCACTTGTACTTTGCAGAAGAGTCTCACTGTTGTCATGCTTTAAGTTTTATTGTGCACATGGGGTTGAGATAATTGTTACCAGCAAACTTTTTTTCCCCAAAATTAAACGTAATGTGTCTAAAATAAACTGCATGGTGTCAGACTCCAGAGGTTTGATCCAGCCCAGTTAAGTCGTGCTGAACCAAGTTTCCTTCTTAAATCTTGGTTTGTTTCTCTGCCAGAAGTAGGGTTTGCTGGGACCCCCACAATATAAATAACAAAGTGTTCTTTAATCTAATATTTAACAAGCTTCCACGTGATGCCGATTGTACTGCCCCAAGGACCACACTTTTTAAGTCATTGCTAGAAGATAATGTGGTGGTATTGTATTCCCCAAAATATTGTGCACCCTAATAAATTTATCTGGGGTCAGAGAACAGACAGCCACTAGATACAGAGGCTAGAAAATGGTAGCACTCATGCCTTTAATCCTAGCATTCCAGAGACAGAAATCCCTCTGGATCTCTGTGAGTTCAAGGCCACATTGGAAACAGCCAGGCATGGTGACACACGCCTTTAATCCCAGAAAGCGAGCCTTTAATCCTAGGGTGTGATGGTATAAAGGAAAGATATATAAGGCGTGAAGACCAGAAACTAGAAGCATTTGGCTGGTTAAGCTTTCAGGCTTCTAGCAGCACAGTTCAGCTGAGAGCCATTTGGATGAGGACACAGAGGCTTCCAGTCTGAGGAAACAAGACCAGCTGAGAAGTTGGCCAGGTGAGGTTAGCTGTGGCTTGTTCTGTCTCTCTGACCATCCAGCATTTCACCCCAATAACTGGCCCCGGGTTTGATTTTATTAATAAGAACTTTTAAGATACCTGCTACAAGATAATGAATTGTCCACTAAGTATGTCCACCAGACTTCATCCTGTCCCTGAAATCACTGATTCTCTGATAAGCTTGTCTCTGGACTTATTTCCATTCATGTTTGTAGGTAAAGTTGCATGGCAGAATGGAAAAATTTGATCATTCAGTTGGGAAACCCTTCTGACTCTTAGGCATCTGACGAGCAGTGTTCACATTAACACTTGAGTTGTTAGAATTGGAGGTGACACATGGTGGACACATGGTAATACAGTTAATGAAAAGCCATTTTTCTTCAGTAAGTAGCACTCCTCAATGAGATGAACTTTTTTTTCTTTTGATGAACATAACACTGAATAACCATCTTAAAATCTTGATATATAACCTGAACTTGTGTCCTGGTTAACCACTGATTCTTCAAATTAGTATGAATTTTAAGCTGTTCGGATAGAGCATGTTTGATTTGAGCATGAGCACAAGTTTCTGTGCTGGGAGCTTAGTCATACTAAGGTATAAAGAACATTAATTACCAGATCATTAGTCATCCTTGACAGTATTAACTTTTGAAGGACTATGTTGGCTCCCGTGAGCTTGTTACAGAACAGCATGGCTCCTTCTCACTTGTCCTTCTTCTTGGCACATACCTTGTCTGCATACTCCCTCTACTCTTCTAACCATACCATGATACAGTCAGGGTTGGCAGTATGCTTTTTTAGCTTTCTAGCCCCCAACTGTGGGCTGAATAAACCATATTTATACATTACCCAGTGTTGGGTATAGTGGCAGCACCAAAAAGATGGAAAAACTATGAAGGCAACTTAATTTGATTATCTTATAAGAAAACTTAGTACTATTTTCCCAAAATTCCTCCAGTTCCAGAAAAGGAAAATGGAAAGTTACCTAAGCAACAACTTGTCTAAATATCACAATAGATTCATTGTTCTGAAAATAGATCACATTTAATCTAAGGTCATACGTCCCTCAGTCAGAAAATTCTACATTTCAGTGCTAGAATATTCCATTAGCGTTTTCATCTATCAAACTTGTAATATATGCAAATCACTTTAACTCATCTATTCATTCCTTTGCTTTCAAAGATTTTCTTTCTACTTATACACCATTTTTCAACTTTTTAAGTTATACCTAATAGTACAAGGTTGGGTTTGTTTGGTTTTTGTTTTTTCCTGTTACTGAACAAAAAGAGGAGCCCTCATGTCCAAGACCACTTTTGGATACAAAGACTAATTTTCATGATTTTCTTTTTAAATATTGGCATTAAAACCAGGTCCTCAAGCATGCCAAACATTTGTCCACTGCTAAACCATACTCGTAATCCTTTTTAAAATAAGGATGAAAATCCTGAGCATGGCAGGAAAGAAGATGTGTCCCAGGGAATAAGATATACCCTGACACTGAGTGACTCCCTCATTAAGTTCCAGAAAGCACTTCATCTTTGAAGACACAAATGTTAACATATGCATTTCCTGGCATCTGCTGAGCTCTGATACTTCCTTTTGCCCCACGTCTGCAGGATCATTAGTATCCTTTACCTGAAGGGACTTCAGTAACCATCATTTTATGTATATGCATGTTTGTCTGTGTGTGCATGTGTGTGCATGTGTGTGTGTGTGTGTGTGTGTGTGTGTGTGTGTCCACCTGGTACCCATGGAGGCCAGAAGAGGGTTTTAAACCCCTGGGAACTAGTGTTAAGACACTTGTGAACTGCCATATAGGTGCTGTGAGCTGAAACCAGGTCCTGTAGAAGAGCAGCAAGCACTCTAAACCTCTGAGCCACCTTTTCAGCTTCCCTCTATCAGCTCTCGCCCCTGCATCGGACGTAAAATCAACAAAAGCATACTTGCATCATTTTCTATCATGTTTCAAAAAGTTTCAAAAACCTAAATGTGATAACATTAACTGAAGTATTCCAGTTTTAGGAGGCATAAAAATTTCTTATAGGCTGAATTCTTCTTGAAATCAGTATACTACATAAAACTGAACACTTGCATTATCAACAAGGACAATGTTTTATTGAACAAATCTATGTACAATACAAAAAGTTTCTTGAAATGAGACACTATTGTTGATTTATTGCAATTCAATGGCTCAGTTTTAATTTGTACTTTATAAAATGCAAAGTAAAATAATTTAATGTTCAACAAGGAAGCACAAATTTCCCTTCTTGCTGAATTTGTAATATCTTTCACATAATAACAATTCCAAAATGCATATGCAGCATTTGCTCATTCTGAAAAGGTGTTTGACAGTACCAAATAAATTAAAAAATAAACACTATCATCCCTTTTAAGCTTTTCATTCATACAACAATATTAAACCAAACATGAAAATACAGCTAAACGTTCAGTGTGATTTGAAAAGAATCACAAGATCAATGATATAAATTATGTATTCATTCTATATTGGTGGTTTCAAAAACATGAATATGGCTAGTGCCCAAAGTACCAGTGTCCTTGTCCATGGAGACTCCCTCCTGTGCGTCTTCTGCGTCTAGCAGCAAGGATTCAGGTATGTACTTGTCCTGACCTCACTGACATAGATTTTATTTTAAAACAAAGATGTGAAACTTGGTCCATGTATCCTCCACACAAAAGTAGAAAAGAAGAAAGGAGAGGGGCAAGGATGTAAGACAAAGCTTCCTTTCCTTCTAAATCCCAAACCAGAACTGCTGCAAGTTCACACAAGAGCAAAATGCACACATTCTTTAAGAGGTAAAACTGAGAAATATAGAAAGAGGTAAGAAAAATGTGGTCAAACAGAACTTTACGTGACATTTTGATTTGATTATATATGAACCAGTTTTATCTATAAGAAAATTTTCTCCTAGCAACACAAGTCAAGAGAAAACCTTCAAATTAAGATTAAAGACAAAACAACAGGTGGAATTTGTTTAAGACATCTTCACACAAACTTCAAAATTCATGAAAATGTAACACTTTGTGGACTTATATTTATAGCAGTGGTTATAACATAAAAAATAAAGAAATGGTAAAATGTTATTAACTGGAAAATGTACAAAGCAGAAATTACGTTTCAAAAAAAAACTTCATTGTGCAAATGAACCAGTTTCCAAACAGAATTTTTATTACAAGATATACTTTTAAGATGAACTAAAAGTCAATTATTACATTTGTAATGTCGGGAAATATGGAAAACATTTTGAGTTGAACTTCAAGGATTTAGAACTAACTTACGAGTTGTACTTTCCTGTTATCTGTGTGTAAATTCCACAGCCTAATGTAGGCTACATAACAAAACTAGAACAAACTGAACTCGGACTGGAATGGACTGATGACTGTCACTGCATAGTCGCAAATGCCCATGGAAAGTAAGAAAATGCAGAACCTTAAAACAATCCTCTGATAGAGATTATTGGAAAACAATTTCTAAAAGTCTGGATGCCACCCTGAAAGTAATGTCACATTTTTACAACCTCATTCAAGTAGCCATAATGTTCCAAAAACTTTTAATATGTGTGATGAGATTGCTGGAATAACTGGAACACTCAGTTGACAGTGATGTAAAATGTGTCTAAAGAATTCGCCTTTGTGTTTGTAGTCTCTTTATCTCACCGTAGAGTAATACACAATTAGGTAAAGGAGATCTGTAAGCATCTTCTTTTAATAATAGATAGGTGGGAAATATCTAGAGGATTTTTTTTAATCTGTAAAACATTTGTTTTAATAATCCATTAAGTTAAAATCTTCCTTAGGGAAATTAATGGTCACCAAGGACAGTAATGCATTAACATATCTTATTGTGTTCCTGTTGTGCAAATTCTGGTGTAAATACTTCCTTAAATATAAAAATTATTATGCGAGCCAAATTTATCACTATTGAAGAAAGTACATTAGTATGGCTTACTTTGGAATAAATTCTCCTAACTGAATAAAATGAACTCTTGATCTGATTCTTAACTGACATACTTTTAAGCCAATTATTTTCATAGGACCATACTTAGATAACTCACACTAATGTCTAAAGGACTTTACTATGAATCATCAAGCAATGTCCTAAAACTATGTACAGATAGAAATATCCCAGTGTGCTTTTACCATTATTCACATTGAAGAATTTTTAATTCAGTGTTTTCCTTCAATTGTCTAGCATGTGATGGTCTTAGATTCTTCTCGCATCCCCCCAAAGTAACTGATACTTTTCTTACTTTTCTACTTAACACTGCTGCCTTTTAAATATAACTAACTGACTTTACAGAAGTGGAATGCTGAACATTCTTATCAAGAGCTTATTAGCCAAGCACTGTTTCTGTTTTGATTTTAATTTTTCAATGGTGGCATGCCATTCACTGAACTTTGACCTGTCTACTTAATTATCAGGAAAAAATGTTACAATCTTTAGTAGATAGCATGGTGGTAAATCAAGCTTCATTTCTATGTGTCAGCTTCTAAATTATATCACAAACTAAAGAGCAATGAACAGTTCTATAAAATATGTTTGACCAGAAGGGAAGACATAATGAATATGCATAACAAGAAAACAATTCCCATTTTCAGAATGTTTTACATTGTTTATTGTAAACCAGCTCCCCCTCCACCTTGTACTATAATGAATCAACATTTTCCTTTCTTCAGTAAGGCCATAGCTGGTTTTTATTTCTGACTAGTTATCCAAATGTGTTTTCACATAAGCAAAACTGAACATGCTGCTACTAATCACCATAAACTTTTAAAAAGTGTGGTTTCATGGATAACTGGTACTTTGGGAGTTTTATAACCCTTTTGGAGTCTTAGCTGGCACATCTCCTCTGCAAGTTCATTCCAGAAAATGTGCTTTGTCTTTTCTTTAGTAATCCGAGACCACTCTAAAATTAAGGCCATCAGGGAAATAGCAAACTGATGATGCATTTTCTTGTAGTGTTTTTTTTTTAAAAACACTACTGCATGATCAACAGATCTGAGACATTATCAGGCACCTGTAAAATAAAATACGTGTTAATTCAAATTTTATAGATTATAGTAGAAAAGCAAGCCTTATATTTCTGGTGTCCATATGTGCATGTGCTTTGTAGTGTACATGTATGTGTATGCATGCCTGTGTGTGGGCACATGTGGAGACCAGAGGCTGATGCTGGATTATCTTTCTTGAGCCCTCTCCACTTTATTTGAGCAGGCTCTCTCACTGGAACCCATAGCTCACAGATACTGCCTATCTAGCTAATCAGCTTGCTTGGTGAGCCTATCTGAGCCCCCTGTACGCTGGGATTACAGGCGAGGAGGCACTATGCCAGCCTAGCATTTACATGGGTGCTGGGGATCTGGATCTAGTCCTCACCACTGCACAGGAAGGATTTTATCTGCTGAGCCATCTCTCCAGACTCTTCTATTTTGACAGCAATTTAGTTTCACTTGTTTTATATACTACCATGCTGATAAAAATGACTGTTTCTACAAATTCTATTATGTGAAACTCAGAATGAAGAAAAGCCACTGGTAGTAGAAAGAGTATAGTAATGTAAGAAAATCAGGAGAAAAGAGTGAAAAAGACCGAGTACCAGATTCCACAAGTTCAAAAGCCTATACAAACGACCTGTGAATTTGTTGTTTAATCCAAAACAAGGATATTAATCTCATAAAATCATAGTGGTTGTGGATTTAAAGGAAACATGTGAAATAGTGCTTTATTATCTGGGCCACACAGATGTTAATGGTTTTAATAGTACAAAGATACATTATGGCTATATTGATAGTATCTTTCTATAGATAGAGCTACTGAAAACACATAAGACTTACTTTCATCATCTGAATCAAATCCAAAGAGTGTCTGACATTTCTTTTGTGCAAGATGAGCCTCAAGTGCTTCTGCATTACAGTAGGTGGTCAGGCATTTGCCACATCGTAATCTTTTTACTGGTTTTTTACATATGTTATCTTGATCAGAACAGGAATCTACTCGATCAGTCAGAAATTTTCTGCGTTTTGGCATACTAAGGTATCGTTCATCAAGGTAACTGGGAGGCAATGGTCTGACATATGGCTTTGTTAAAATTAAGCCATATGAAGTATGTTCACTTGTAAGATTTGGTTTGGATGGCGCCTGAGATACTGACAGGGCATGGTGTTCTTGTGATACAACATTCGGTAAAATAGAACCATTTTCCGTCCTGTTTCTATCTGTTTTCAGATTAGGATCTGATGCACCTAACAGTGTTTGCTCTATTTCACTGTGTCCATTGACTAAGTCACTGGTACTATGACTATTTTCAGGATTTGGCTCTATGGCAGGCATCTTTTGGTCTATCAAGCTTATATTTGAAACAGTATCATCAGAATGTTCATTTCCATTCTGAACTAAACTGTCTGTTTTCTTTTCCATAGTGTCTATACATGTCTTTGGTTCTGTAGAATCTTTCCTTGATTTACTAGTAGAAACTGGCTGATAAATCATTTGGTTCTCATTACTAGATGGGTCTATTTCCTGATGATTAGGAACTGCTGCACTCAGTTGTGCAGATGATTCCGGAGTTTTGCTTAAGTAATGCTGGGCCTCATGTTCATATAACAGAGGAAGATCTTCAAAAAGCTCGTGGCATTCTGGAAAACTACACTGAGCTTGAAATATCCTGTGACTTTTTGTATGCTGAGCAAGCTGGAATGGCAGCTTAAATGACTCATTGCAATTAAAATGCAAACAAAAGTACACATTTGGATAGCTGTGTCTATTAAGGTGATCTATAAAATGTTGAGAATCTTCAAATTGCCTTTGGCAAAATTTGCATTTTCCTTTGCTCCACTTCATTACTGTTTGCCGCACATTTAAATCAGTTGGATGTACAGTCCTTGCATGCATATTTAAAAATCCAATTCTTTTAAATATCCTTACACAGCCAAGAGCAGGGCACTTGAAGTTGCCTTCTTGGTCTGTAGCATATACATCTTTTGGATGGCACACAGTTCCATTGATTTTATGAAGTACTGATGTTTCTTGATTCAGGTCATAATCATCTTCATAATCATCTTCATTTTCTTCCTCTTCATAGTCATCATCACACTGAGGTAAAGACTCGGAGATATTATTGAAAGAAGTGTCTGGTCTGCCATTTTCAATAGCATTCTCTGGTCTACCAATGGGAATTTTAATGAATTCAGCCATGTGTTCACGGATGACCTCTTTGTTTCTATCACTGGAAGCAGTCAATGTCTCTATTTCTAAACCCTTAGTATTTGAATTTCCATTTTCAAAAGAAATGGACGATTTGGAACAGTTTATCTCTTCCAGAGTGATAACTTCTGGATCATCCTGTTGTGCTGTAGCAATCTGCTGTCTCTGGATCTTCTTAACATGGTTCTTTAAATGCTTCTGCATAAGTCCTCTGTTTCTAAATTTCCTACCACAGATCACACAGGAAAAACTGCCTTTTTTCTGATGAGCCTGGGCGTGCCTTACAATGTGGCCACCTAGGAATTCCTTGTTACATAACATGCACCGATGCCTTGGGACACTGTGATCCACTTTGGAAGTGTTAAGAGCAGTGAGGCTTCTCTTCACATTAACATGCCCTTTAGGCTGCACTCCAGACACATCATCAAAATCAGTCTCTCCAGGGCTCTGATCTGGGACTGTGTCAAGCCCTTCATCCACGCTCTGCTGGCCCACTGTCTTTTTTAGACTACCTGCAGAATTCTCCAGTGTATTTTCATTCAGAAGTCTCACTGCTGACTTATCACGCAGTAATGCCACACAGTTTTTCTTAATCATTACAAAGTTCCAAAACTCAGGATCAAAAAACAATCCCTTTTTCAAAATTGGCAGTAATTCAAAGCGAACCCGATTTTGAACAGTACTTGTGCCTTCACTATACTCTTCATCAGGACGTCTGTAAAGCTCTTCAACAGTGTGGTAGGCCTCTAAGGAACGCTCGAGAAAAAATACTGAGAGAGCACAAACCCTGACGATCTCTAGATCATTTGGCAAAAAATATGCAATTGTCTTATAAATTAGACATTTAGTTTCAGGATCATCATGAAGATCAAGCTGGAGGGCACAACCACATATTTCAACACAAATTTGTAAGCCTTCTTCCTCAACCTGGAAAAAACAAAAATAATCCCACTAAATATAACTTAAAAAATCATTTTAACTGCTGTAGCATTTTAAATACAACTCCAAAAGGGAAAGCTTTATAAACAGTGTTCTGAAGTGTAGGAAGAATTGCTACTGTACATCTCTTCAATAATTATGAGGTTTTTACTCTTCTATAACATGTATCTTCTATTAAATGATAATAACCTGATATAGGTTTACATTTAATTTTCAAGTGAGAAAAGACCAATAACCACAGTATAAAAATGTTTGCAAATTGTAGAATTTCTTTCCATTCTGAGCTCACTTGGGGGATCATTCTCATTCTCTGACAGAAAGAGATAGACTATAGATATTCGAACAGATGCCAAGAAGTAACTATTTTTTTAAGATCTATGCAAATTTTGTCATATTAAACAGTACTTATAATACTGGTATAAGATATTATTATTGTTATTATTATATATGATAGGCAAGTGCTTTATACAAATATGAAAGGGGGCATCATACAAATCTAATGAAGTATAAGAATAATAAGCCTACTAGAAATTGTATGAAAACAAGTCAACTTTTACTTCTGCTCATGATAATTATATTAGCTTTTACTGCAGAATTTTTAATGATCCACTGCAGTTGATTTTATGCCTCTAATGATTGAATAATCAATACTTATTTGAATAGGACAAGAAATCAGAATTGTCTTTATGTTATAAGGTATCTGTGTGTGTTGCATGTCATACTGCCTACATATGGTTATGGATCATAGGAAAAAGTAACCATTTGCAAGCCTCCTGTTCTCTTTGTCTCTTATAGTATGGTAATCTCACTTAACTAGATAGAGTTTTACTATCAACTAAGATTTTCTGAGACAGTGAATGGGTATGATCACATCATTTGTAAATTAATGTTCAAAAACAGAACTTATAATGGTAAAAATGATAAATTTGCTTAAGTCATAAGAAAAACATTTCATATTGAAGCAATTGTTCTCAAATTAAGTAACAACAGACTGGCTTTTTCCCCTCTATTTCATGTACCATGCTGAATGTTTGAAGCTGGAGAGAAAAGATTGTGACATATAGAGAATGCAGCCTTAAAAAGCTAAAACTAAAAGGATAAATATCATATGTACCTCATCTTTAATGATTTTCATGAAAGGAAATATGACTCTCACATTAGTTGCTGTTCTTAAAAGTTGATAACATTGATCTACAAACACTTGTTTCGAAGGATTCGATTTAAGCTGTAGTTTACTCCATATGAAAATCAACTCCCTGTAAATGAGAAAAAGACATATATCAAAAAAATAGTTTATTCAAGTACAGACATTAGTTACCTTTCCCCGATTCTATACTATCCTAGCTAGGATATACATAAAGTAATTATAAATGTGCACATTATCTGTCCTACCTTTGAGATTAATATAAATTAAGAGAGAAAAATAAAAAAGAAATTATAATTTTGCATTGATAGTAATGATTTCCAATGATAAGTTGGCACACCTAAGAAATTTATAGTGTTGAATCAAAGCAGTTCTAATTTTAATGTACTAATACTGATGTTATAACTTTAAAACACACACATTGACCTTTAGTATACTACTGTCAGAACACCATCCAAGAATGGAGTCATGTGAGATGAATTCTGAGTGCTTGTGAGAAAACTCCAAGAAAATAAGACAAAAGTCTTGTGACCCCATTTTCTTCAAAAACACAGAATTGTTCTTGGAATGTGTTTTCATGCCCCTCCCAGGTGTAGCAGATAGGAGTGAGTTTACTTCTGATTATTCATTACAACAGGCTATTGTTATTTGTTTATACGCCTCTATGGAAAAACATGTTTTTGCCATGTGTGGCTTGCCCTTATGATTGATTGTACACTGTACTCATGTGATTCCTCTTAACCTTCAGAGTATAAATTGTCTGATGCTCTCAATAAAGTTAGTTATTGCATGAGACTTCAGTCCACCTCATTTATTGGCTTCATTCTCCCAGGTTACAGTGTCAACTAGAGCAATAAACATACTACTTGCAAATTTAGAAACGAGTATTGTAGAGTATTTCATTCTGTTAAGATACTAAAAGTAATTTTAAAATTTTAGCACTATTATAGTACTGATTTTGAAACTGTATCCTTTATATCATCTTTAATCATGTGCTTTTCTGGTAACATGCAATACTTTTGAACAGACAAACTATAGATAGATTCTTTTCTAATCCATGGTCAAGGACGAACAAGAACAAATAAAGCCAGTGGGTTTTGAGGTAAAGGCAGAACATAAGGATATAACTCAGAAAATTAGCATACTTTAAAATCTGCCCTAAAGTTATGCAAAGCATTGTAATTTGGAACTAATAAAATAGTTGGTAGAGTTTTCCTTTTTTCAAGTTATTTACTCTGTCTTGTGAGCCCAACACATCAACACATGCAAACAGATTTGGGCTCACTGGGCACTGGGCTCCTATCTGCATAAGAGGGCGTTACCTTGTAAGTAACACCAGGTAAATACAATTCCACTAGAAAGAAATGTAACAAATCTGGTATCAAAAAGTGCTTTGGGCCAGGACAGAGTAACAAACATTCTTCAGTTAAAAATTCATTACTCCATTATTCTGTAGTATGAAAATTTTTTAAATGATTATCACTGTTCCAGTGAGGAAGCAACGATGTGTTTGCTACACACAGTGATTTTGGTTTTAAATCTCCTGAAGCACTGCCTTCCTGAGATGCTGGATGGGCTTGTTTATGTATTTTATGAATCATATTTCCCAGGACTAATGCACATAAATCTCCTCAGTAACACAGTGTATGATGGAGACAGTAACTGACACTTAAAAACTAAAAAAGTCAATGTTTACAATAAAGACTCAATATCTTTTTTTTTTAAAGATTTATTATGTACAGTGTTCTGCCTGCATGCCAGAAGAGGGCGCCAGATCTCATTACAGATGGTTGGGAGCCACCATGTGGTTGCTGGGAATTGAACTCAGGACCTTAGGAAGAACAGCCAGTTCTTCTCCACTGAGCCATCTCTCCAGCCCAAGATTCAATATCTTTAAAGACATCAATAGTGAACTGCCTGGTAATGTACTAAAGTTTAATAAGTCACTAGCTTCTTACATACATTCAATGTAACCTTCAGGATACCAAGAAATAACATTTGTTCAATAAATTTTTGTTAGCTGATAATCTGGGGTATTTTATTTTATTTTTGGTCTGTTACCATTGTTTCACAGATGCCAATCAACTATTCTATAACTAAGCTATTGCCCCCATCCAGATAATCTGGTAACTATTATATTCCTAAATGCTGAAGCTTCTTGAGGAATTTAGTAAGGTAAGTGTACACATGAAATGAGATTAAAGATGATGGTAAACATTTTAAATAAGGAGTGTTTTTGTAAAAGGGAGATGGATAAAGAAAGCAGGCAGATCAATCTGAATTATATTTAGGAGCATATATGGCCTAACTGCAACAGATTTTTAAGACAAAATGATGCTGGAAACCATAAGATAAATAATTCATTTAGTATTTTACAAATGAACATATTACATATATATATATCCCAACTTATTCCAAAATAATATGAGATTTTAAATGGACATTCTTCGCACACAAAAGTTTTGTTTTGTTTTTTAATTCTTAGGTGGTAAAAGAATTTTGTCTGTGTTAAATCAGGGATGGGGGTTGGACTTGGTAAGCAAAATACATCCCTGTACCCCCCCACCCCAAAAAAATGTGGCTGGAAAGATGGTTTGGTGGTTAAGAACTTGGAGTGCTGTTGTCGAAGACTCTAGTTCAGTTCCTAGCACCCATGTTTGATGGCTCACAAACACCAGTCAACTCCAGCTCCAGACGTTCTGATGCCTTCTTCTGGTCTCCAAGGGTATCTGCACTCACATGCACATACCCATATACATACACACTAATTAAAAATTAATAAATCTAAACCTTTTTAAGCAGTTGAACACTTTCACACAACTGTAAGGAAAATATAAAGTCCAAATCCACTAATCAATCCTCCTTCTGTTCATCATTTCTCCATTTCTACTTATGATCAGAAACACTTACCATATGTAGTACATGTCCCCATTCTGGAGCTGTGGGATAAGAAAGGATTCACAGAGTTGTAAGGCTAGCAAAGTCTTGCCTTCCTTTTCAGTGTTACAGATGATATCAATTCCACTCTTGCAGTCAGTTTTCAACAAATGCTATAAGAAGAAAGGGAGAATCAGTTCCTGTCATCAACAATGTATAAAAATCTAGTTGCAGTTACTGATTAAAATACTTGCAAGTACTGGTAGATTTCTAGTTTCTTTTACAATTATATACTATATTGAAATACTTTCATGGTCTCATAGTTTTAGAGTATAACATATGCATTTCACAAGTACTTGCAAGGTCATCAATGCTTATGGGTAAGTAAGATTCAGATTAGGAAAGAATTCCTTCTTTTATTGTGAAAAGCAAACATAAGCATTTACCTTCTTAGCACTTTAAGAGGAAAATCATGTTTCTCAGTTTTTTTTTTTTTTGGTTTTTCGAGACAGGGTTTCTCTGTGTAGCTTTGCGCCTTTCCTGGAACTCGCTTTGGAGACCAGGCTGGCCTCAAACTCACAGAGATCCGCCTGGCTCTGCCTCCCGAGTGCTGGGATTAAAGGCTTGCGCCACCACCGCCCGGCGATGTTTCTCAGTTTTTATTTGATGTCTGAATCATACCACAAATTTAGTAAATATATTGTATTAATTCAATCATTTGTTAATATCAGATTCTGACTAGTTCACATGAACTTAAAGAATGGTCCTAAGAGAACACATTCAGATAAATCTTGGGTATTACTGCAGAAGAAATTCCCTAACAGTGGGCTTCTGTTTTAATTTTAGTAAGGTTGAAGTGGTAAGAGGAAAAAAATCGTCTCAGATGATACCTCCCGGAATAGCTGATCCTCTACGGGTGACATAAACAGACAGGTGAAGAGTGCTTGATGGAAGTACAAGTCTTTACCGATTTCTGGGTGATTTATACAAGATTTAATAAGAGCCATTGCTTCAGGTATGCGCTCACAGGCAATTAGGTATCTGGCACGTAGTTCAAAGAACAGTGGATTTTCAGAACTTAAGTATTTGTTCACTATATTAAAAAAAGAAAACATATTATTACTCTAAAAAAATATTCAAACTTTGCTTGAAACTTTACAACTAAAACATCCTATCTAATGAGATTTAAGTAACATGCTCCATAATGAAATTTTTATTTTTGCATAGTCAGTTAATATGGCTGATAAAATGAAAATAAAACACTAAAACAGTGCTCAAGAAATACTAGTTGATTTCTTCTCAGTCTAAAAAAAGGGGTAAAAACAGAATTAAAACTTTAGAAAAGGGGAAAAAAAATCAAATGTTCTTTAGTTCATGAATGCATTAGAATGTTTCAAGTAGCAAGTGTAAAATGCTCCTCTAGTCTAAGATTACACACTTTTGCTTCTTGTAGTCCCACATTCTCATTATTATAAAATACTGAATGCTAAATTAGTACATTAAAACCACATTAAATCAGATTAACTGTAGAGAAGTGTAAGCTAAGTTAATGAAAAGGCGGAATCATGAATAAATAAATATTAAATAAAATTAATGCAAAGTTGTGCCAAAGAGGTCTATCACTATGTTCATGTATCACCAAGGATAATTACTAATTTATGCTTACTTTCATTTTCATAATATACAAACACACTTAACTCTGTAAGTTTATTTAAGCCTAACAACAACCTTATGACAGGTGCTATGCTATTCAATTTAGAGATTAAATGACTTTTCCAATGACAAAGAAATCAGTGGCAGAGACTAAAGTGGAACCTATAGTTTACGATTTTTAAATTCAAACATTTTGCAATTATTGAAGTTTCATCAAAAGCTACTAAAGTGTTGATGGACTATATTTTATTTTGACTTAAACATTTTACTTATACTTCTGTTTAAAATGTATAAGTAAACGCTGACTTGGAGTTAATGCAAAAATAAATTTCAGTCTGAACTTTACCATAATGACTACTATCAAAAGAGTCATCGATATTAAAGAGGCTCTAGAGAAAGAGCCTCTGCCCAAAGGAGGAATGCTAGTTAGTTAGAAAAGGCATGTTCATTATTTTAATGTGATGCCCACCTGAAGAGCCCTCAGCCTTCACACCAGCTAACAAGAAGTCTGGCTCTTACTCAATGAAGCCTAAAAGCTCCCTTAAAAGCCTAATAAATTTTCTTCTCTTCTGCACTCTTAAAAAATTATAAAAAACAAAAAAATACTGTTAATGGTGTGTGTGTGTGTGTGTGTGTGTGTGTGTGTGTGTGTGTGTGTGTGTGTGAAAGAGACAGAGAGAGAGAGGAGAGGGAGAGAGAGAATGTGTGCGTGCCTGTGTGTATTGTACTCAGGTTAACAAGCTTGTCAACGTGGATTGTACGTGGATTAACAAGCATGTGCGGGAAGTGCCGTTCCCTTCTGAGCCATCCAGCGAGCTCCTGCCTCCTCCCATGTGTGGCTTGCTTGATGCCACCCTCTAGCTTCTCTGGCCACATTTCCTGGTTTCCTTTCATTATGCCCCTTATCTTTCTTATATTTTACTCTTCATAACTTTCCTCAACAAGCAAGTGTTTCGCCTCAATTCCAACTGTCTCCCTCTTGATCTTCTCTAAGTGCTTTCCAAGATCAAAACATCAAGCAGCAGCTTCCCATGTTTCCCTTCCTCCACACTCAGTATTAAGCCCAGCATCATAGTCCCTTCTCCACACACTCCACCTCTTAATCTGGTGCAAATGGGAATATCCTAACATGTACAACACATGCTAGTGTAAACTGTTCCCAAGTTGGAAGGGCTTGTCTGTTCTCTTGTGCTTTCTTATAACTGCACTTTATAAACTCTCTCCACGATTTCAAAATATTTTTTACATTTTTGTGTTTATTCACTAATGGTTAAGCTTACATCCTAAATGTTGGTGATGTAACATATCCTAGAACTCACAACATTTTAATACTATGGGAAACTAAAGAATTAACAGGGAGGAGTAGAGAAGAGAGCCTCTGGCTTCAGTAAGAAATTTTGGCTACTAAGAGTCCACTGTGGGTCTGTATGACAGGAGCTGATATCAAAGAAGGATGTAAGTAATGAGGGGATGAGACAATTTTTTATTAGTTTAGGAAATACTATTTCTATCCTATTTGAAATTTAACTGATTCATTCACTCATCAAGAGAACTTCAAGAGAAGTTCACTCACCAAGCTTCACAAGAGAACTCCTATGCAATCAATGGATACTCTGCATGTTCTTTTTATGAAAGGAAGTTTAGGGTTTGGGCTTTAAAAACAAAACAAAAATACAAAACAAACAAAAAAAGCATTCCTACTTAAACCAATTTTTTAAATGCAACCGAAGGAGTAAAACAAATTCCCTGTAACATCCAGTAAATACGTCAGCAGCCAGTCCCATTACTAGAAAGCACTGTAACAACGCTGGCGTCAAGAAGCGTTGGGCCAAGTCAGAAAAGCAATGGCTGGGGTTTTGACTCTCCTGAAGTACCTATCTCCTGAGATGCCGGTTGGGCTTTAAGAACAGCTTGCAACACTGGATCTTCCCATGGGCCACCATCTCTAATGATTCGAGTCACCAGTTCCAGATTCACATTTCCATATCTGCGGAGGTGATTCTGGCATTCCTACGAGAGAAAAATCATTTCGGCTTTGTGAATTTAAAGGGGTTAAAAACTACTTGATCATCATTGTCCATAAAGTGACTGATGGCCATGTGATAGCTACTAAATTGTAAGAGAAAAGGGTATCATTGCAACCTAAAGGGTGACAAAACCCTATTAGTAACAAATAGGCTTAATGCCAAAGGTTACACAGATATACATGATCAGACTGAGAAAAGTCCCATTAAAACAGGGGTAAATGTAACCAAAGGGTGAAACTTACAGGTGAATCACTTGTAGGGAAAGAGCCAGGTTGCAAAAAGTTGGAAATTAAATGCTCTGTTAAATTTACATATGGATTCAAAAATTTCCTGTTAACAATGGCAGGCAAGAGCCTAAGGGGAGACTCTGCTCAGAATGTACACTCTACACACAGGAGACACAGGTCCCTTGCTTTGTCCTGAATTTATGCCAAATCTAAGGTGCAGGAACAGGTTTCAAAACAGAAAACTCCACTTCCCTTTGTTTGGAAATAAATTTGTGATTAGCAGAAGAAGAAACAACAGCTGAGGAAAGAATTAAACCTGTGACAGGAGCAGTTTACATCAAGTTTGGATAAAGATGATAAAGTGAGTAGTAATTAATAAGAACTCTCCATCCCCTGTATTTTTTAGGTATATACAGTGCTTTTCAGTATCTTTCATTATATTGTGAAATCTGTTAAGGAAATTAAGTTGGTTCACTTAATCCTATTGACTGCGTTTGAGGGACTAGCTTTAAATATGGACCGTTCGTTTACTTGTACTGTTCACTCTGGATCATTATACACTAAGAGTTTGAAACGTTGTTCGGTACACTTAGTCATAGATTTTTGAAACATGAACTAAGACTGAGTAAATTTATTTTTAAAAAGTTGAGCTTGAGCACTTAAGGAAAAAGACAATAATGAAGCTGGCAGTATCTGAATATAGTTGAATATTATCTGCATAGCAATTAAAGCACAATTGCCAGAAGTTTTTCTGTACCTACAAAATGCCTCAGGCAGATACTTTAGCATCTTATAAATTTTGCTTCATTGTTTTTTAAATGGTGTTAAAATTTTTGCTTATTAGATGAATCATCAACTAATAAATTCATGGTGGCTGTTACTTTACTTGTATTAAACTATCATGTTTTATATCATTTGAGCATTACATTTTAGGCTAAATATTTCTACGTACTATTTTCACTTACTAGTTAAGGGAAAAGGGGGTTTTCTTTATTTTATTAAAGAACAAGATAGGAGAAATTGAAAAAAAAAGAGTTTCAAATGTGGTATCCCTTTTCCCTGGGTTGGTCTCAGGTTGCTGAGCTCAATCTGTCCTCCCACATCAGGCTTCCAGGTAGCAGGAACTAGAGGAGTGCACCACACTAAAGAGCTCAAAGTTTTTGGGTTTTGGTTGTTTTTTTTTTTTTTTAATAACAAAAAAATAATATCAAGTAGGTCAAAGGATCATTAAGTTCAAACATTAGGAAATAAGTTAACTCCTAAATGTTATTCATTCAAGGGTGTCCCCAAATTAAAATAAGCAAGTAAAAAAAAAATCCTAGAGTGGGCAAATTAGTTAAGCTCCTGTGCTCTAGCAGTTCATGGGTCTACTAAAAAGAACCTATTTCATAAGATTGTTGTGAGGGGTAAATAACAATACACAGTACTAAAAGGTTCTTGGGATATTACCTCACATATAGTAAGCAATCAATAAATGTTAGCTTTCATTTCTTACAGTAGTTTTAACATTTTGAAAAAAAAAGTGTGTGTGCATGTGTAAAATAATATATTTTAGGATACCTACTTGCCTGAGCATCAAAAACAATGTGCATTTTCTCATCAGTATGCTAAAACATTTATTATTAAGCAGTATGTGGGAAGAAAAAGTATGTGTAACGGCACATGAATTACCAGCCAATTGTCACTTATGCTGAGGTATTTAGAACTGGGCGTCTGTTAGTGTACACTGTCAGTTTCCAAAAAAACAAATGGAGGTTTAGTTTAAACCCTATGTTAAAAAAAAAAAGTTCCAAAGCCCCCTATTTAGACCACTGAAAGTTCCTGAGAGAAAGCCATAACAATCTTTTTATCTTTTGCAGCTACTATCCCCAAGAAAATTTAAGAGTAAGATAGGTAGGTAGCTGTAGCTGTGCGTGCATGTGTGTAAGAGAGGAGATATTACTGTTTCCCAGACTGCTCCCAGACTCCTATGCCAAACAAACCTAGCTCAGCGTCCACCCTGACTAGGATGACAATACACACTCTGCATCTCATAAGATACATTTTTAACTCTACCCTCCTCATTTAATGTGCAGTCCATCAATGTGATTTTCCTGGTATGTTTATTTGTGTGCTTCTTGTGTAGTATTGTTACATTTTAGAGAGCATTCCTATGATAAATAATATGATAGGTAATAAAAATGAAACATTACAGTGTGGTCTATTTTTTAAAAGACATAGTGAAAGAGAATAAATAAATATGAAAATAGTTCCCTTCTTTAACTAGTACTAATGGCTTTTTGCATGGTATTTAATCCAACACCTCCAAAGTTAGTAAGAAAGCACATAGAGCACCATAGAATTGTTTTCTCTCCTAGAGCATGGGGGATATGTTTAGAATGTTTCTGAAACAATACATAGGTGTACATAAAAACACTCCTCTACCTAAACTATTTCCTGTTGTACTTAGTGCAGTGGGCTGATCACAATTCCTTCAGATATTTCCTGTCAATCTGGTGCCTTTGCAGGGATATGAAGAAAACACAACTTTTTACTCACTTTTCTTTCAGAATCGATTGGAAAATGGGATTGATGTTCTGAAGGAAGATTTTATTCCATCCTACAGTGGATGCCATTTTAAATTCTACATGTGTCATAAAGCAGTATTTCAGTGTCTAGATCTTTTTACAAACCGGTTTGACCCCTTCATAATTAGTCTTTGTCATAATTAGAAATTGAAGGCCCAACCTGCATCCTTTTCTCCATCCTTGTCTTCAACAAATTCCAATTCACCTTGTATTTTACCTGTGCCTTTTTCTCATGTCACTCTTCTCCAAATTCCATGAGGCTATCTGAAACTATCCTAGTAAGTCAAATAATTGATTATTGTATTGTCTGTGTATATTTCCACTTCTATAGAAGTGTTTACTATCTACTTCAATCCATAACAAGATGTAACTACTGTAAATCTATACTAATCCACTCTTAATTATATATTAAGAAGAGGGTCTTGAGTGTTAGTACCTTACTTTCCTTAGGTAATTAGGAGCTTATTCAGGTCTGGAGCCATAACTCAGGGGGTCACAGCACTTGCTATGTGTAAACAAGAGGACCTGGGTTTAATTCCCAAGCACTGCCAAAAAAAATCAGGCATGCCTATAACAACATTTTTGAGGGCAAAGGCAGACAGCTTCAGGAAACTCACTGGCCAGGCATCCAACTTCAGGTTTAAAGAGTGACCCTGTCTCAAAAAATAAGGCGGAGAGTGATAAAGGACACCCAATATCCTCTCTGTCCTATGCATGTGAGCACATGAGTATAAGCACCAATGTACTCATTTGTGCATATGCCACACAACATGCTTGCACAAACACACACAAGCTTTTTTTTTGGGGGGGGCGTTTCATAGTCAGGAAAGGTATGCCAAAGAAGCTCCTTTTTTTTTCTTTTAAAAATTTTCTTTTATTTCAGATGTTTTGCCTGCATTTATGTTCCTAACACCATGTGTGTACAGTACAGTGCCCATGGAAGCCAGTAGATGGCATCAGATTCCCTGGCACTGGAGTTACAGATGGCTACGAGCTGTCATGTGGGTACTAGGAATCAAACATGGGTCTTCTGGAAGAGCAGCATATGCTCTTAACAGCTGAGCTATCTCTCCAGACCCAGAGGTATATTCTTAGTGTTAATTTTTTTTTTTTTTTTTTTTTTTTGGTTTTTCGAGACAGGGTTTCTCTGTGTAGCTTTGCGCCTTTCCTGGAACTCACTTGGTAGCCCAGGCTGGCCTCGAACTCACAGAGATCCGCCTGGCTCTGCCTCCCGAGTGCTGGGATTAAAGGCGTGCGCCACCACCGCCCGGCTTAGTGTTAATTTTTTGATCAAAATAGATTTCATAGGCATTTGTGTAGATGAAAGCATCATCGGCATTTTTCTTACTTATAATATCATGTATCAAATTCTTTGTAAGTAAGTTACCATATCAAATGGAAGCAAAAATGTAAATGGTCTTCAGTATGGTTATTTACAAAAAACACAGATCAGTAAAATCAAGATTTGGTATGTTTGCCCAGCATGCCCGAGGCCTTGGGTTTGATCCTTAAAATCACATAAAACTGCAGCACTGGGAATGCAACAGGAAGATCAGAAGCTCAATGTCATTTCAGGCTACATAGAGAGCTGGAGACTAGGCTAGCATACAAAACCGCCTTCAAAAAAAAAAAAAAATCAAACAACAAAAATCTTTACAGTACTTTGAAAAAGTTTTTAAGATCATTTACCTATCACTGATTTTTATATTACAATTTCATTGTTACCACATGGCAAAAAAATGTAATATTAATGATCGTTACATATTTTTAAAATAAATTAATTTGTTCCTCTCTTCCATGATGAGTTTGAAAATAACTAAAAAAAATCTATGTTTTCTAATATAAAGGAACATTCACAATAATAAAAACATTACTGTTTTAGAAAAGATACTTTTAATGGAGAAAATTTCCAGTGACAGTATATTTCCATCCTATGGTTGTTATTACTATAGGCATGCTATCTTCCATTTTCACGGCAGAATTGACTGTTGGAAAGCCTTTCACTTGAAGTTTTTTAATGAGTTTTTGACCCATTTGTCAGGCCCTGAGCATCAGCTACAGACAAGGAAGGTAGTGCAATGGTTCAGCTGTAACAGAAACTAGGGCCAGAAGAATGGCTTGATCCACTAGAGTGCTTACCATGCATGAGGAACTGAGTCTGGATCCCTGAAAAAGTCAGATGTTGGATT